AATTCCTTAACAGCCTTAAATATTTTTTTTATTAAAAAATTCTAAAAATACATTATTAAATATTGATTAATAATGAATTTTGAAATTTAAAAATATAGTTGAATTTATTTTAAGATAAGTGTCATGTTTGAATAATCAATGAATATTTATATTATATTTATATGAAAATAAATTATTTGTGTATGATGTGATTTTAGTTGATTTTTTATTCAAAATAATCTGTTTTACTAGTGTATTAGTTAACATTTTTTAGATTTAGGACATCTTAATCAAATTTTAATCAGTAATAAGCTATAATTATTTAATTTATTTTCATAGCTAAAACAAATTGAAACTTTGGCAGGGCATTTATATACACATCACCGTATTTACATATCTATCAGCTATACTTTAACTCAAACCATTTATATCACATCAATATCACTATTTTAACTTAAAAAAAAAAAAATGAAAAACAGCTTTCATGGATAAATAAGATAGCATGTATGTAAAAATTGAAATTTAAGACTAAGATATGCAAATACATAAGAACTTAGTAGTATGTATGAAAATCTTCTTTTAATCAAGTTTTTAAATTTTTCTCAAAGAAGTTACACACAATTATAGGTCGTATCCAAGAAAAGTTATTATGCGCAAAATTTGTAAGCATGTAGATTCTATTTATAATAGTATTGTGCACATATTGTGCAACAGTGTACAATTATGTTGTACATGAAGTTTGACATGCAAATACATACGAACTTAAGGTGCGTTTGGGGCTGTTGCTGCTTTTGCAAGAAGCAGTTGTAAAGTTTCTTCATGGAGAAGGAGTTTTTCATGAGCTGTCCAAAAGCTGCTGATAAAGAAGCAAGTGTCTGTTTGGGAGATCTGATGTGATGATGATGTTTCTGCTGAGAAAGACTGTTTCGCTCATATATATTTAATATATTGAAATAAGTATAATTTTTAGAATATTCAGAATTAAGTAATAGAAAGAGCTTGTACTGCTAAAAAATTGACAGTCCAGTTCAAAATATTCTAATACATAAAAAAAAAGATTCGCTATTTGAAACATGTGACTACAATAACGAGAACAACAACAATAATCATCAAGCCTAAATGATGTTTAACTTGAAATTTTGATGATCAAGTCTTCAAGAAAATCTCCACTCCATCCTTGCATCTCTCATTGATTGGTCACAGTCTTGAGATACCTCATCAGTGTCATCAACTCACAAGAAATAGTCGCAATTTGCAGGAATGCTGTTTTTGGGACAAAAATAAATTCTTCTCCCATAGCTATCTTTCCTCCTAGAATGGTATTGAACGCACCTGTTGCCATAATAATAGAGTGAAACTTTTGAATTGTTTGATGATCGTGAGCTCATACTTCTTGATATTTTAATATAGTATTGCTCTAATTAAAAATATTAAGTTGATTCAACGTTCAAGAAATTCTAAAAAAATATAAGCAATATTAAAATTAAGAATTAAATTTTATTGGTGTAAAAATGGAAAGATACAACACAGTTTGCTATATATATATATATATATATATATTGAAAAAATACATCTAGGGAAATACATGAAGATGAAATATGAATCATCAACTACAAATAACTAGGGATGCAACATAAGGTCATTGCATTCACTAAAGCATCAATAATCTCATCTCTCAACTGCAACATCTCCTTAACACCTTCTCCCTAAGAAGTATTATACTTGTTCCTCCTACATTTCACTTCTTGCACCGAATGTCTGGCTTGATGTTGGTTAGCTTCCTTGGGCATGTAAGTAGGATCATTATTTAAGGCCCTGAAATCGATACCATCTTCGGATGGATGCCTCCGTATAAAATTATGGAGCGCAATTGTTGCAAAGATTATCTTGACCTATTTTTTGAAAGAATATATAGACATGTCTTGAAGCATGACTCACTTCTTCTTTCATACACCAAACGCTCGCTCGATAACATTATATAATGAGCAGTGTCTTTTGTTGAATAGTTTATTCCTCTCTCTAATCACTTAGTTGCTGCGCTCAAATTCAGGGATGTGATATCTAGTGTCGGGAAATGGCTTTAAAAAATTTTGTTGTTGTGGATATCTCGAATCAACAAGATAATACTTTCTTGAATAAAAATTACATTACTAAGTTAGTTCAGAAAGAAATATAATAGTGACAGATTAGTTAAAGATACCAACCTTAGGAAGGCATAGGGAATTTGTATTCGGGTCACCGGGTTGCACATTTAAATATTTTGATGTCTTGTGTACTTCATTCCCAACCAGTCACGTTGAAATTGCATACAGCTAATATGTTTGGTGTAGCAATTCCACACCTACAAATATAGACCATCTTTTTATCATACCCAATGTGTGTGTCAACATGTGTTTTATCAATTGCTTATATGCAGTTCTTATCATAAAAACATGACATAATTTAATTTTCTTATAACCTTCCTTTAATTAATTGAATAACGAATAGAGAGTGAGGTCAATACCTTAAAAAATGACATATATCTTGGAGTGCTACGAATTTCTCGAGGTGTTTGAGCAAAGGATGAGAATAATGGTTTGATGATGTTTGTAGCCATTTTAATTGGAAAGTTTACCGGGCATGGAAATATCTGTCAATCGTCTTTATAGATTGCTGGAAACGCTCTGAAGCTGCATGAATGGTATCTTTGTGTGACATAATTTAGTGTGTGATAGCTAGGACTTCTTGGGATGTAAATCATGAAGATCCATGCAAGCCATATTTGGATTGCAATTCATCTAAGAAATCACATAAAATAGCTTTTGACATCTGGAACATGCTGTGAATCTAGCTTGGATGAGCTTCTATTAGTTCTCCAATTCATTTGTCACCCACAGTTGACAATAAGACACATGGTGCCGTACAAATTTGCCTTTGGTAGTACTCATGAATTGAACAACTGTGTTGGTAATGACTGTAGCTTGCTCAACTATCTCTATAATCTCATCCTCATTTGGTGGCTTCATTTGTTTGAAAAAATAATGTTAAGTTTGTTTCAAAAGAACATGTTATTCTTAGTGCAGGTAAAGGCTCAAAATGCATGCAGTGAGAGTTTTAAAACTATGAAAATCCAGAAATAATCAAACTTCAGAAATATCACACACAAGTCATAGTTTACAACAGAAATGTTAAATACTACAAATAATCATTCTATCATAGCATCAACAACTAAAAAAAATATGTGTATGACATCTAACTAGTCAGACTGTCTAAAAAATAACGAAAGGAATCCTCCATTCAGGGAGCATGGTGAAGAAAGCCTCTTGTTTATTTTGATCCTTCAAAAGTTCTACATTAAATAAGTATAGGGGCATGTCCTAAAAAATTTATGGAATTGAGCCCAGTAGCTTGACAACATCTGTCATTGTTGTGTATGCATGGAGAGCAGTGAGGGCACTCGAAGTAATATTGGTGCAGTTGTCGCCAACTATGATATCTGTTAGGTTAGATGAGCAACCCCAACTTTACTTTCTTTTTCCCTTTTTGTATTAAGGGTGCAGGTCGCTTGGAGTGATTGGACTCCCCTTGCTCCCTTTCTTCAGTTTGTACCTCGCAGACCTCATTCAAATAAGCACAATTAAGCTCATTCAGATTATGGGTGGGCTCCTCTGTTGTGGCTCAAACGTTGACCCATGTTGCTGCAACACCAAGAAACATTGTATCTAGCTTCTCCTCCAACTCTTGGTTAATGCCAACAAGCCTAAATTTATTTGCATTCCGTAAAACCTACAATTGATAAATTGGCCTTCTAATATGCAAAATTTTAAATTAAGAAATGTTGAATGTAAGATGTTCTACTTACTGAACTCATCTCTTGTCACCACTCCTTAGGTGCATCAACTATTTTTCTAATGGGGTCCAATCCTAAACCAGTTGCCCCTCTCTTGAGCTCCTTCCACAACTTCCAATCCTTTCTAAACTGATCTCATTTATTTTTCAATTGAGTTTTGTAGTACAGTCTAACAGTTCTTTTTAAAAGAGTTTGGTTATATTTAGTCAACATTCCTTATTGAAATGTGTTGTTGGTCTATTATCCTTTTCCATCACTTTTAAGCATAAATTACCGAAAATTATCATCGTCTCTCTATTCCAAATAGGAGATATCTCATCTTCTTTTTGTTTACCCATCTGATATCTAAATAAAAAAAATGTATCAACATAATTTGGCATATAAAACAACAATACAAGAACCTAAGCAAAAATATGCAAATAAAAAGTAAAAGTAGAGCTTAGAATCAGTTCATAATGTCAAAGATAGCTCTATCCATCATCACCAATTGTGCTATGTACCCATAAAGGCCAGACAATATCTGTGTCAAATTAGCATGATCATTTTTTTCTGCATTCACATTTGGTAATCGGTTGAATCCTTTGTTGTTTTTTTTTCCATCATCGCTCTAGTAAACATTTCATAAAAAATGTGGAATATACCCACCAAATCGGATTCGAAAGCCTCATCGTGAACGAAAATCAATCAACCAACCAGTCGAGAAAACATCAAAAGTAATAAGATCATATGAATCATTTAAGCAACCAAGCAATGCTCATCTGTTCATTTCAGATTTCTTTGCTGTTTTATTTTCTTTGGGTAGATACGTTAGCATTGATTTTTAGTTTTTCTAAAAAATTATGCTGGCTGAATTGCTTGCTCTTGTCGCCTCTTTATTGTGGAGTAATATTTTTTTAGAGAGAATGTTGAGCACTGTTTCTTTTTTTTGTATTTTTTTTTTCTTTTGAAACCTTTATAAATAGAGAAACATATGCTTTGTTGTACAATTGAAGATTGCATCGTTGGCATCACTTTTTGATGTCACATGAGTCCAATTCGATTCTGCATTCGACTCGATGCAGCCTCCAACCGACATAAGAATAGAGTTTGCAAACAAATAACTCTCTACATAATATTCTCTTTATTAAGTTAGAAAAAATATAGTGCATGTATATCATCCGTCCGCACAATGAATGTGTGGTCCTGCGCACATACCAAAAGCGCACGTGATATTTTCTCAGATCTCCAGTCTGCGCACGTAATAAGAATTTCATTCGCGTGCCGTTAATTACCGCTGCCCTAAATAATGCTTCTCAATCCCGGCGGGTAACCTTCACCGTCAATCCTCAACGCGTCAACCCCTTCAAATCCGGCGAAGCCTGCCGCTCCCTCGCCAAGAACACCGGCCGCCATTGAAGATAGCTTGGACGAAGAAGGTACGTTTGGGAGCGTCGGATATCTTTCAATTTGTATGCCGTAGAGATTACAGAATTCATCATGGATTTAATTTTGATATAAAAATCAAATCTTTTTTTCTTTTCTGGTAAGATAATCAATTTAAATCCTATAAAAGTTCAGTATCAGGGAAGATCATGCGAGTAAGAAAATATGAACAATGTGCAGATCATCTTTTTTTTATGAGAAATAAAAGAAAAGATTGGAGTTTTATGATCTTGTTTGAAGAGAGTGAAAGAAAGGAAGGGAGTTTTGAACAAATTTCATGAATTGTCCGAGTAATTAACAATAGTTTCTATATTGAATAGCTTACAGCAAATATCAACAGCCTACAGCTTTTTCTAATATAAAAGTCGAATCTTTTTTTTTTGTCCCTGATAAGTGAATCAATTTAAATCCTATAGAACTTCGGTATCTTAAAAGATCGTGCGAATAAGACAAGAAGAACAAACAAAATTACCTTTTTTTAATGAGAAATCGAAGAAAGATAGGAGCTTTATTATCTTCTTTGAATCAACAGAAAGAAAGGAACAGAGTTCTACGAAATGTTTCATGAATTGTCGCAGAACTTAACAATGGCGTCTATAGTGAAATGTCTTGCAGCTAAATATTTATACAGGTTTTTCTAACAATTGTTTGAACTGAAGAGTTTTAAGGGCATAAACATACATAACTCCAATTCTTATGTATTTACATATGTCATTGCTAAACTTTCATATTTACACACATAGCATTCAAATCGTTAAGATCACATTAAAAATAACACTACCTTTTCATGCATATGCATAAATTTAAAGCACCAAAGTGCTATGTATGTAACTATAAAGGTTTGGATGTGAAATGTGTAAATAAATGAGAATAATTGCATAGTTTTAAGGCACCAAATGATATGTATATAGATATGAAAGTTTGGATTTGGGATATGTATATACATAGAATTAAGAAATACGTGTGTAAATTTCCCTTTATTTATTTGAATGAAGAGTTACTGAAATTCTTCTTCTGAGATGCAGTGATGGATAAAGTTCTACATGCTGCATCAACAGAGTCAAAAGATTTGACGTCACATCTCTTAGCCAAGCTCAAGCACTGGAAATGGTGGCTACTTGTGGTCCTCAACATCTTCTTCCTCCTCGTTGGTCAGACCGTCGCCACCCTTCTTGCCCGCTTCTACTACGACCAGGGAGGGAACAGCAAATGGCTTTCCACACTCGTTCAAACTGCCCTTTTTCCTCTTCTATACATATTTTTCATCTTCTTCCCCACCACCACCACCTCCTCCTTCTCCTCCCCCTCCCCCAACACCATCTCCGGCCCATCAACCCGAAAGCTCGCCCTCATCTACACCGCTCTCGGCCTCCTCATCGCTGCCAACAATCTCATGTATTCCTATGGCCTCCTCTACCTACCTGTCTCCACCTACTCACTCATTTGTGCTTCACATCTCGCCGGCAACGGAAAACCACCGTCGGTCGTTCCTTGCTTGTCGCCATCGGTAGACTTTATGAAGTAACTACATAAGTTGCCACTAAGCACGTTGCGGAGAATGGACGTGCATTGAGGAGTAAGGAAGCACCATGCGGGGGTACCAACTTAAACTGAGGAGTAACGAAGCACCGTACCACGATTACTCTCAACTGTTGCATAACGAACCCTTCTGTGCACGGACATTATTAATGTTGAAATTTTTTAGATTAGGACATCTTAATCAAATTTTAATCAGTAAGAAGTTAAAAATATTTAATTTATTTTCATAGCTAAAACAAATTGAAACTTTGGCAGGGCATTTTTATACACATCACCGTATTTACATATCTGTCCGCTATACCTTATTTGTTACGTTTATATCACTCAAATCATTTATATCACAACAATATTACTATTTTAACTTAAAAAAAAAAAATGAAAAACAGCTTGCATGGATAAATATGATAGCATGTGCCATAAAATTGAAATTTAATATGCAAATATGTAAGAACTTAGTAGTATGTATGAAAACCTTCCTCTAATCATAGCTCATCTATCCAAGAAAAATGATTATGTGCAAAATTTATAAGCATGTAGATTCCATGTAGAATAGTGTTATAGACATATTGTACAACACTGTATAATTATGTTGTACATGAAGTTAGATATGCAAATACATAAGAACTTAAGGTGCATTTGGGGCAGTTGTCGCTTTTTCAAGGAGCGATTGTAAAGTTCTATCATGGAGAAGCAGCTTTTCAGGAGCTATCAAAAAGCTATGAATAAAGAAGCAGATGTATGTATGAAAGATCTGATGTGATGTTGATGTTTCTGCTGAGAAATATTATTTTGCTCTTAAATATGAAATATATTGAAATAAGTTGTTTTTAGAATATTCAGAGTTAAACAACAAAAATAATTTACATCGCTAAAAAACTGATAGTACAATTTAAAATATTCTAATACATAAAAAAAAGAATTAGCTATTTGAAGCAGATGACTACAATAACGAGAACAACAACAGTAATCAAGAAGTCTAAAATAATGTTTAACTTGAAATTATGATGATCAAGTATTCAGGACAATCTCATCTCCATCATTGCATCTCTCCTCGACTGGTCACAGTCTGGAGGTACCTCATCAGTGTCATCAACCCACCAGAACTAGTCGCAATCTGCAGGAGTTTTGTTTTTAGGACAAAAATAAATTCTTTTTCCATAGCCATCTTTCCTCCTAGATCGGTACTAAACACACTTGTTGTCATAATAACAGAGTGAAACTTTTGAATTGTTTGATGATCTTGAACTCAAATTTCTCGTTATTTTAATGCAGTGTTGCTCTAATTAAAAAAAATTAAGTTGATATGACATTCGAGAAATTCTAAAAAATATAAGCAATCTTAAAATTAAGAATTAAAGTTTATTGGTGTAAAAAAAAGAAAGGTACAACACAGTTTGCTATATATATTTTGAAAAAATAAATCAAAAGAAATACATGAAGATGAAATATGAATCATCAACTACAAATAACTTGGTGATGCAACATAAGTTTGGTCATTGCATTCACCAAAGCACCAATAATCTCCTCTCTCAAATGTAACATCTCATTAACACCGTCTCCCTCAGAAGTGTTATACTCATTCGTTCTACGTTCCACTTCTTGTATTGAATGTCCGGCTTAATCTTGGTTAGCTTCCTCAGGCATGTAGGTAGGATAATTATCTAAGACCATGAAATCGATATCATCCTGGGATAGATGCCTCCATATAAAATTATGGAGCGAAATTGTTGCAACGACTATCTTGAGCTATTTTTTGAAAGAATATGTAGTCATATCTCGAAGTATGACCCACTTCTTCTTTCATACACCTAACGCTCGCTCGATAACATTGTGTAATGATCGGTGTCATTTGTTGAACAGTTCATTCCTCTCTCTAATCGTTTCGTTGTTGCTCTCAAAGTCAAGAAGTTGATATCTCGTGTCGGAAAATGGCTTCAAAAAATTTCGTTGTCGTAGATATCCCAAGTCAACAAGATAATACTTTCCTGATTAATAATAACATTACTAAATTAGTTCAAACACAAATATAATAGTGATAGATTAGTTAAAGACACCAACTTTAGGGAGGCATATGGAATTTGTATTCGGGTCACCGGGTTGCAAATTTAAATATTATGTTATCGTGTGAACTCCATTCCTAACCATTCATTATGAATGTGAAACATATGTTTAAATTTCATACAACTAATATATTCTCTGTAGCAACTCCACCCTTACATATATAGGATATATTTTCATCAAACCCCATGCGTGTGTCAACATCTGTTTCATCAATTGCTCATATACAATCTTTATTATAAAAACAAGACACAATTTAATTTATTTATAACTTTCCTTTAACTATCTGAAGAACAAATAGAGAGTGAGGTCAATACCTTGAAAAAAGACATGTATCTTAGATAGCTACGAATTTCCCGAGGTGTTTGAGCAAAAGATTTACTTTTTTTGCTGAAACTTTTATAAATAGAAATGCATATGTTTTGTTGCACAATTGAAGATTTCATCATAGGCATCATTTTTTGATGTCACATGAGTCTAATTCGTTTCCGCATTCGACTCGATGCAGCCTCTGACCGACATAACGCTGGCGATAAAAGGAGAACCAAACACCGCTTATGCTTCTCCAAGAAATAAAAGCCACGAAAAAGTTGCAGCAACGAGTTCCCAAACGGGCCCTTACTGGCATGCACAAAAATTTTTCTTTAATCAAATTCTTTATTTTTTCTCAAAAAATTACACACCATTATAACTCATCTATCCAAATAAAATTATTATCGATATGCCACCAACAATTTTTCATCATCCGACGCGAATCTCGAGGCATGACACAAATCTCAAGATTATATTTTAAGCAGTAAATATTCAAATCTTGATAAAAATTCATTCAGAGCTCTGATTTCAGTAAACTTATAGTCAAACTGATCGGCTTGATGAGACAGACCTAATGATATGAAAATTAGCCCAATCCGAGTTAAATCAAGCTCATATCAAGTCATTAAATCATACTTAGATGATTTCTGGACACATTTGGAAGATCAAATGGTTGTCGAATATAACAAATTTGTACTTGAATCAAGCCGCTCAACAAGACAAATCCAACGAGCCCAAGATTACTCAATTCTGACATCATTAAGGCATGCAAATGTCTATTAAACGTCGTTTGATTGGAGGAAGCTCTCGGGATCATCCGATCAAAATGATTCATATTCATGCATTAATGACACCCAGAACACTATAAATAGAGCCCCACCCTTCACATGAGGGGGGGTGAGAGGGGGTTGGAAGCTTTCAGAGAAAACTGGAGCTCTAAGAAGGAGCTGAAGTCCAGCACCATCCCGACCGTCATCGACCACAGTCGATCGCCATCGACCACCGTCGGGTCGTCGTCGATCGTCGTCATCCATTGTCGACCGTCACTGTCGATCATCACCAATCATCATTGATAGCCACCAATCAGACACCATCAGTCATTGTCGTGGGACATGAGCTCATCACTACGGTACATGTGTCAACAACGACCAACTTCGGCCCTGACGATCTACGGACCTCATTCATACTCATCACTACAGCCTATGTGGTCCAGAGCTCTTGTAACTGCTAACTACGGTTTCTTTGGCCAATCAGCACTTTTGGAGCAGCCATCTACAACATTCACGATGGACTACTATCTACACAACAATCAACATGACCCTTACAACCTCCTGTCACCAAGAACTACAACCAGATTATAGTTGTACAACTTTATAATTTCATCTTCCCTTATTTAGTGAAAGAATGAACATGTGTACTCATCATTCATAGTGGATTATTTCAACTGGGCTAGACCCCGTGGTTTTTCCCTCTTTTAAGAGTTTTTCATGTAAAAAGTCGAGATGTCTCATCCTGTTTACTTCTCTTCCGTTATTTGTATGTGTTGAACTCTCGTGCAACGGTAAGGCAATAATCCATTACTCTACAACTGAGAATTTTCTGGCATGCATCATTTTGGCACCGTATGTGGGAAACGAAGTCTTGTTCAACATTGTCTTCAACTCTAAGAAGTTGATCCCCTATTTCGTTTCCCAATGATGTATATCATCCAACTGGCTAAGGAACCTCATTTACGATCTTCTCAGAAGCATTCTTCCAGGCTGGGGACAATCTTCACTGCAGTCCTATTCAGACACAGTATTTCTCATATTTTTTTCAGATTACAAGTCTTTGAGAATCTATCCTGGATTGGGGGGCAATCTTCACTGCACAAAATGCTTCCTCAGTGTCTCTTCATCGTACCGGAGTTCCTCTTCAGCTAGACCAGGAAGTTGATCTCTTCAAGGTCCAATACTTGTGTTGTTTTACAAGCTTGTATGGAAAATACTAGCGCTAGAAGAGCAAAAGATTCAAAATTCGCAACTGACAAGTTGTCAAATATTTTCTTGAGTATGAATGCAACCATATTTTCAAGAAAACATACGGTCTATTGCAACCTACACCCAGTCTCGAGAAACGCAGAGCATACTGACACCTCATTTTGAGATTAATCGATCACAGGGGGACTCGATTCGACCTCTTACAGGCTGCAGTAGTCAAACAAAGGCTTCGACGAATAGCCTCAGATAAGTCAAAAACTTTGGATGGATTTCCTTCGACATCTTCCATAACAGGTTACGATCGTCAAACAAAAGCTTCGACCAACACCTAGGATAGGTCAACCATCCTCAGTGGATTTCATATAACTTTGTTCATTATGAGTTAATTTCGTCGAACATCTTCAGTTATACAACCCAGAACTGGTCTTACATCCTTAATGGATTTTTTCTTTCAACCATACCCTTAGAAGTTGATCCCAGGAGACAAGACTCGATGGAAAACTACAAGAAAACTACAATGCTCCTCAAGCCTCAAAAGGCACAGATACACGAAAGACCTCAGAAGGCTATGAGCCTCAGTAGGTACCAGTTCAAGCTCTTATAAGACATAGGTTGAGAGAGCACAACCTCGAAAGACAATAACCATAAAAGGTACGTGATTCTTCATTTTATAAAATGAGTGTGCTAACTTTAATTGTAGAATTTCATACGGTTAAAAAGCCACAATAACTTCATAAGCAACGTCAAAGACGTACAAAGAAATATATTATTATCATCTACAAATATCACATCAAAAGGCTACAATAACCAACATATACTTGTACAAGAGCTACAACAAATCTGCTCATATCCAAGTAGAGTCGGCATCACCTCCTCAAAACTCCAATACTTCTAATTATCGTCAAGGGGTCTCTAGATATCGCCACCACAAGCATGAAAATCTTCCCCTCAAAGTGCGACAGGAAAACTACAACATTTTTTCACCTTTGGAATGTGCAAGGGCGGCACTGGAATCTCTTGTGGAATGCACGACATCAACGAGAAAGAAGATCGTGTTACTCGTTTGCTACGCAGGTTGAGGACGACTTTCACTCTTCACAGCAACTCTGCGCTGTAACACGACACCGCAAATCTGCACCGTAACTCGACACCACAACTTTGAGTCGCCACTCGACACTGCAACTCTGTGTCTCCACTCGACACCGCAAATCTTTGTTGTAACTCTTCACTGCTGCGCAGAATGATTTTCTTCTGAGAAATCACGAATCAGCTAAGGACTCCACCTCTACCTTCTTTCATGACATTGGACATCCAACGCATCGCGTCACTGCTATACTTTGTCAGAATGCTGTCGCGACACACTGCCACAACACGTTGTTGCGCTGTAACGCATCGGCCCGACGCACCATCACAATGTGTCACCACGCCGCAACGTGTCGCCGCGACGCACCGCGGCAATGCGTCTCCACGTCGCTGCGACGCACTGTCGCAAAGCGTTGTCACGCCATAACGCGTCGCCGCGACCACTGCCGCAACACGTCAAGTTGCTACAACGCCTCGCCGCCACGTGCCGCGCCGCAGCTGATGTGCCCCTAGTTTGTGTTGTTTTTCTACGTGTTTTATGTCAGTTTAATTCCTCTGAGATGGTGCAAAAAATTTGACGAGAACTATAATTACGCAGTAATTTAGCTTTCAAAAGACGACTAAGAACTTGACCCAGTTTATATTTAACAACTAATATGCAAAATCGAAATATTATAAAATATATAAAATAGTTCACACACTAAGGGTTCTACGCAAGTGCACGTATCGCTTCAAGTGATATAGGACTTTCTTTAAAAACCCCAATATTTATCCCACGAATAAGCGAGGTAAGAAATTCTTTAAGCTAATTATAGTCTACTACTATAAGGAATTAGTTTAGAAGGTTGATTAAAGTGGTTTTAATGTATGCTAACGGAACTAAGTTTACTAAATTAATTTCTAAACTTTAAATTTAAATTTATTAAGACTAAACAAAGTTTTGTGACAAAGAGTTTAAATTTAAGAAAGTATATTTCCCACTACAATGAATTTTTAGTTAATGATATTGTTTGAATTTGTATTTATTAAAGAACTGTTTTGTGTCAAATAGGAGCAATCATATTCTTTACCCTCTTCCATGTGCTATAAAGAATATTGGCTAATCTCAGATTTAGTCCCTAATTTCGTGGTTAGACTGGGAGGATACTGACTCTCACTCTAGAGCTCCCACTTCCCTTCCCCTTAAGGCTAACGCTCGCTTTAGTTTTTAAGCTTTAGTTTTTAATTGAGAATTTTAGTCCGTCACCCTAAAATCTCCAATTCCACGCCCAACAAAGTATATTTCCCTATTTATTTGCACCTAATTCTATGAATAAACACTCATCCTTGAAATTAAATGTGATTCTCACTCTGTTGTAGAACTCATACTCCATTTTCAAGATCATATATTTCACAACAGATTTTAACATTCAATTTGCCAGATCGAAAAGTAAATTAAGAAAAAGTGTGGAAAAATCATCATAATTTATTTTATGTTTTAAAATGGCACATCCAAATTATCTTTTCATTTCATCATATCTCAGAGTTGGTAGATAAAGAAGTATACTCAAAACTCATGAGGAATATACGACAAAACACAAATTATATATATAAAAACAAGTATACAAAATAAAGAAATGAAATAACACAATGAAATAACACAACTTATCTTAGAACTTATCTTAGACTCCTCCTCAAGCAAATCCCTCGAAGTACCCTTGTAGCACTTTCTCTCTCTACATTCCGACCGTCGTCGACCACCATCGATCGCCATCGGCCACCGCCGGGCCGTCGTCGACACTCTTCGATCGCCGTCATCCACTATTGACCGTCACTGTCGATCATCATCAATCATCGTCGATAACCACCAATCAGACACTATCAGTCATCGCCGTGGGACATGAGCTCATCACTACGGTCCATGTGTCAACAACGACCTACATGGTTCATAGCTCGAGCAGCTCCCGACTCCGGCCTTGGCGGCTTACGGAGGTCATTCATACTCATCAATACGACCTATGTGGTCCACAACTCCTGTAACAGCTTACTACAGTTTCTTTGGTCAAGCAACACTTCTGGAGCAACTATCTACAACACTCACGATAGACTACTACCTCCACAACAATCAACAATGACCCTTACAACCTACTGTCACCAAGAACTACGTCCAGATTATAGATATATAACTTTGTAATTTCATCTTCCCTATTTTAGGGGAAAAATAGATATGTGTACTCATTATTCATAGTAAATTATTTCATCTGGGCTAGACCCCGTGGTTTTTCCCTCTTTCAAGGGTTTTTCATGTAAAAAGTTGAGCTATCTCCTCCTGATTACTTCTCTTCCGTTGAATTCTCGTGCAATGCTAAGACAATAATTTATTATTCTACCGCCAAAAATTTTCTGACACGCATTAATTATATATGGAGTTTGTATGCATATGAATTATGTATACAAAAATATTGTACATTTATTATAAAATAGCTCACAACTATATCATATATGGAGTCTGCTAACATGATAACTATACATAATATTCTCTTTATAAAGTTAGAAAAAATATAATTTGCTTGTATATCATCCGTCCGCACAATGAATGTGTGGTTGTGCGCACATACCAAAAGCGCACGTGATATTTTCTGAGATCTCCATTCTACGCACGTAATAAAAACTTCATTCGCCTGCCTTTAAATACCGCTGCCCTAAATAATGCTTCTCAATCCCGGCGGGTAACCTTCACCGTCAATCCTCAACGCGTCAACCCCTTCAAATCCGGCGAAGCCTGCCGCTCCCTCGCCAAGAACACCGGCCGCCATTGAAGATAGCTTGGACGAAGAAGGTACGTTTGGGAGCGTCGGATATCTTTCAATTTGTATGCCGTAGAGATTACAGAATTCATCATGGATTTAATTTTGATATAAAAATCAAATCTTTTTTTCTTTTCTGGTAAGATAATCAATTTAAATCCTATAAAAGTTCAGTATCAGGGAAGATCATGCGAGTAAGAAAATATGAACAATGTGCAGATTGTGCAGATCACCTTTTTTTTAATGAGAAATAGAAGAAAAGATGGGAGTTTTAGATCTTGTTTGAAGAGAGCGAAAGAAAGGAAGGGAGTTTTGAACAAATTTCATGAATTGTCGGAGTAATTAACAATAGTTTCTATATTGAATATCTTACAGCAAATATCTACAGCCTGCAGGTTTTTCTGATATAAAAGTCGAATCTTTTTTTTTTTTTTGTCCCTGATAAGTGAATCAATTTAAATCCTATAGAACTTCGGTATCTTAAAAGATCGTGCGAATAAGACAAGAAGAACAAACAAAATTACCTTTTTTTAATGAGAAATCGAAGAAAGATAGGAGCTTTATTATCTTCTTTGAATCAACAGAAAGAAAGGAACAGAGTTCTACGAAATGTTTCATGAATTGTCGCAGAACTTAACAATGGTGTCTATAGTGAAATATCTTACAGCTAAATATTTGTACAGGTTTTCTAACAATTGTTTGAACTGAAGAGTTTAGGGGCATAAGCATACGTAGCTCCAAATCTTACGTATTTACACATGTCATTGCTAAACTTTCATATTTACACACATAGCATTCAAATCGTTAAGATCACATTAAAAATAACACTACCTTTTCATGCATATGCATAAATTTAAAGCACCAAAGTGCTATGTATGTAACTATAAAGGTTTGGATGTGAAATGTGTAAATAAATGAGAATAATTGCATAGTTTTAAGGCACCAAATGATATGTATATAGATATGAAAGTTTGGATTTGGGATATGTATATACATAGAATTAAGAAATACGTGTGTAAATTTCCCTTTATTTATTTGAATGAAGAGTTACTGAAATTCTTCTTCTGAGATGCAGTGATGGATAAAGTTCTACATGCTGCATCAACAGAGTCAAAAGATTTGACGTCACATCTCTTAGCCAAGCTCAAGCACTGGAAATGGTGGCTACTTGTGGTCCTCAACATCTTCTTCCTCCTCGTTGGTCAGACCGTCGCCACCCTTCTTGCCCGCTTCTACTACGACCAGGGAGGGAACAGCAAATGGCTTTCCACACTCGTTCAAACTGCCCTTTTTCCTCTTCTATACATATTTTTCATCTTCTTCCCCACCACCACCACCTCCTCCTTCTCCTCCCCCTCCCCCAACACCATCTCCGGCCCATCAACCCGAAAGCTCGCCCTCATCTACACCGCTCTCGGCCTCCTCATCGCTGCCAACAATCTCATGTATTCCTATGGCCTCCTCTACCTACCTGTCTCCACCTACTCACTCATTTGTGCTTCACAACTCGCCTTCAACGCCATCTTCTCCTATTTCATAAACTCACAAAAGTTCACCCCCTTAATCTTTAACTCCGTCGTCCTCCTCAGCTTCTCCTCTGCACTTCTTGGCCTCGACAAGGACTCCTCTGGCGATTCCTCAACCATTCCCAGAGGAAAGTTCATACTTGGATTCATACTGACAGTGGGAGCATCTGCAAGCTTCTCATTAATCCTCTCCTTGATGCAGCTCACCTTTGAGAAAGTTCTAAAGAAGGAGACTTTTGCAGTCGTTCTGGAAATGCAGATTTACACAGCATTCGTGGCTTCATGCGCTGCGGTCGTCGGGCTTTTCGCCAGCGGGGAGTGGAAGCAATTGGCCGATGAGTACGAAGGATTTCTCAAGGGAAAGGCTTCTTATGTGGCTACTGTGGTGGGGGTGGGAGTGGCATGGCAGGTTGCTTCTGTCGGCGTCGTTGGCTTGATCTTCGTGGTGTCGTCCCTGTTCTCCAACACCATTAGCACGCTTGCTCTGCCGGTCATTCCCGTTTTTGCGGTGATCTTCTTCCATGATAAGATGGATGGAGTGAAGGTGATGGCCATGTTGATTGCAATTTGGGGCTTTTTGTCATATTTATATCAGAATTATGTTGATGATTCAGCAGCCAAGAGGGCAGTGAGGGAGGAAGAAGGAGAGAGCTTTGATACTTCCGTTCCTTGAAGATTGATCTGCTTCAGGCAATTTAGTTGAGTGTATTTTTTGCTGTGTTGAAAGTGCAAGTTTGAAGGTTCTGGTCTTTAGGGGAACTAAAATGAAGAAAGTTCTGCAGTCTTTGTTTGTTTTTGTTTGATACGTGATTTGAAGTAATATTGATTGGACTATTTTATTTTTTTTCCTTTTAAGTAATATTATTTTGATCTCGTAAGAACATAATTTCAGTATGCGTTCGAATATACGTGCAATATGGATGTTTCTTTAAAGGTTACCCCTCGTAGAAGTGAGATTTTTTTTTTTTTCTGAATTTGTCTTTAACGTTGGAATGCATGCTGGTATTCTTAGCTTGAAGTTCCTCGGCGTTCGGAGCACGGTTCGGCTTCATGATGCAAAGTTAGGCTGTTTGGGGAGGGATTCAGAGCGCGGAGACTTGTGTTTTGCCTAAGACGGGGCGAGGGTTCGACCCGACGGCCCGTGTTTCTCAATGATTTTTTGACCGTGTTGCCCACCTTTTTCATGATTTGGAGCATGTGATCGTCGTGTGCCCTAACCTGCATTCGTCGTCTGAGATCCATCGGCCTCTGTGATCACGTGCTCTCTCTTCTCCTTCTGTCTTCCTCCTCTGCTTCTCACCCTCTGCAATCTATCTTCATGGTTCCTCCCGTCTCTGTTCCCCTATGGTAAGCAAGGATGGATGCCGTTTTTATGGAAGATTACATACATACTACTTCACTTCTGATGCACTTAAATACCTTCCACCTAAACTGCACTTTTTTATGGAAGTTTACGTACATACCACTCAATTCCACTGCATTTACATATCTTCCACCAACACTATATTTTTTTATAGATAGCATCTTTGTGGAGGACGGCCCAACTTGTGACGTACGTCGTCTGCATTTTAAAATTAATATTATCATATTACTAATTGTAATTTTAATAGTTTTTTTTTTCTTTTTTAGTAATCTTGATACTCACTATTAAGTGAGGTGTTTATCTAGATTTTTTGTACTGTTCTGAAGTAAATTTTTTGCTTCTGAAATATTAAATATATGGTTATAACAAACCAGTTACAAACAACATTACTAGACAAGAGAAGAATGATCATTTGTCCGCACAACTGTTTTCAAACCACAGAAAACAAATAACAAGTTAGCTTATCCGCAGAAGCTTCTTGAGATAGCTAAGTTGTAGCAGTTTATTGATAAGCTGCAGCTGCCCCAAGCAGTTGTTGGATTCACTGAAAAAAGGAATGCAATATATTTGAAATTTAGTTTATTAGAAATAATTTGAAGTTGTTTAGTTCGGTGTAGTAATTGCTGAATTTTATGTTAGTGTTGTTTGAAGAAAATTAAAATCAATGTAAAACATGTTTGACAATAATGGTGGCGGCGACTGGTGGCTGCTAAGATTGAGATGGGCGGCGGGCGGCAATAGGCGACTGACGAACAACAGTAACAATGATAATAGGTTGTGATTTACACTGTATTTAAAAATCATCAAAATCTAATGATTTCAAAGTTACACCAATCTTGAATTGCAAAATGAATTTCAAATTTATCAAAATTTTACAGTGCATTCCACTTTGACCCTATCATAAATTTTTTAAATTTAATGCATTTGGTTAGCCCTTAAATATCTTAAAATTCTTCTTCTCCTCATGAATTGATGGCTTACAGAATAGATTTCTATCCTTTGCAAGACTTCAGCTCTTTAAATTTATCATTTGGAATTATATTGCTTATTGATCTCTCAACATGAGTGAATATAATATAAAGAATATTCCCCATTGATGCTGTCATATTCTTTTTGAAGGAGGTCCTTCTGAAATATTTTATTACATTGCTTGACATAAAAAAAGTTACTAAAAAAAATAAATAAAAGAAAAAGGGAACTTTGTCGAGCTGAAAGAAAAGAAAATGAAATTTACATTTTAAGAAATTATCATATTCATCAAAGGGAATGTAAAGACTGAAATATTCTCAAGAAAATGGAAGGCCTGCTGATTAGCTACTTATGGATGCTATGAATGTTATTAATTGTTGTTGACATTCTCTTATTTGAAGATGTCATTCATCAATGGATCTCTCAGCTTTAGAGTTATTTTTATGTGTCATTGGGCTTTGTATTTTGTAATAAACTCAATCGTGTTGTGGTTCTCACGTCAGAACGGTCAATCACCAGCGGTCACATTGCCCTCCGCTGACATGTATGGCGACGTGGTTGCCGGTGGTCGGACGTGTGGCGTCCGGACAAAATATTTTCTCCTACAGAACTTTTTTCAAAATATGATTATAAAATTATTGTCGTAAAAATAAATTTACTAAAGCTATACACACATGCAAGCGCACGCGCACACCACCTTTTCTAAGACGAATTAGTGTACTTGATACTCATTTAAGAACTCAAAAAATGGATGAAAAAGTTTAAATATTAACCTACTAGGATAATTACTCTCTTCTTGCTTGGCAAATAACTCACTGAGAATTTGAAAAACACTTGTTTAATAATTATTTAATTATTTATTTAATAGTTTATTCAATATTATTACATCAGATTTGTTATATGCATTGAATTTAAAAAATAATGTATATTATTTGAGGTATAAATATGATATAAATATAAAATAAATATTCAAATATAGAAACTAAAATTGCTTATATAGTTATTCCAACATCATCAAACAACATAAATGATATGTTACTATTATATCAATTTAAATGAAAACTCTTAAATCAATTTTTTGTACGATAAGAAACAAATATGTTTAAATTATTAAATATCAGATAAATAATCCGTTATAGTTAATTAAAGCCCGATTATAGCTCAAATTCAAATAAAAAATTAATTTAAAATTGACAGATTTACATAAATTCACCCTAAACTTCAAAATTTGCAGGTATAGCACTCCATTAACTATCTTAACATTAACAAGCTCACACATTGCAATCTCAAAGGCAGCAAGTGAGAGGGCTTTGGAGAGATGAATTGTAAAACTTACAAAACAGCTAAAAATGATCTGTAGAAGATTTCCACCAACAAATTTAAATTTTTTTTAAAAATAATTTCAGTAATGCAAATTGCAAATCCAAGCGATTGTATTTTCATCATTTATACATATGGAGAGAACAGAGTGGATGGAAGTAGTTCTTTCTCAGGATGGGAATCAGAAGAGAGATAATTCAAAATGCTGATAGTGAATTAATCAATTGATTATCACATCTTATTGTTGCCCTTACAAATTTTCAATATGATGTTGAAGTTTTTACAGAGGAATTAATAAACTCAATCTCTCAGGTGTTTGACATAATAATGAATGTGAATCCACTTATTGCAAATATTGGATACTTTTCAATGTCTATCCCAGGAGAAAATATTGCGTCCAGAGTCCGGAAGTGTCCGGACAACGGATGCGATACACCTGAAGAAAAAAAAAAATTTGGGTGTATCACATCCGTTGTCCGAGCATTGCTTGCATCCGGACTCTGGACGCAATATTTTCTCCTATCCCAGACCTTCATATTTCACTAGGATGATGGGGTTTCAACCAAGGAATTCTAAAGATTAATCTCTCATGTGCTTCACACAATGACAATGCCCCCACTCTTTACAATTAGAAAAAAAAAATAATCCTAATGAAATAACTCGCAAAATTAGATATTTTTCAAGAGCTGCCTCAATATGAGGAGAAATCACAACGAACTTGCTATGAACTTTGATCTGCATATTAGTCTACATAAGACATTTATTTTATCAATAAAAAAAACCAATTTTGACAAGCATAGATTTATGACACCAAAATGTGATAAATGCAATGACAGTTTAGTTGTAGATATGTAAATATGAATTATTTGGTATGCATGTAAATTTCCCAAAATTACAATAAATTTTCAATAGGCTTTGGGTTGCCATTTTTTTAGGCAGCAAGTCATCTGTTTTTTTATCTATTTTTTAAATTTGTCCAAACTTGTATCATCTATTTCAAACAAATAACACTCCCTCCATTAGATCTGAAGATATCAACAGACTATTAAAAACACAACACCAAATTTACATCAGAATATGCCATTCTTCTCCAAAACAAAACTAATTCATTCAAAATGTTGGGCTGAAGTAAGCACAAATTATGACTATCAATATTTAATTTTGATAAAATAAGTAGAAAGGAATACAATATGAGATTTTGACCTTACCAGGTAACATTATACTTCTGTTCAGAATGGTCTTCTTGAGCTTTTCTTCCCAAAGATAGCTTCCCACACCATTGGAGAGTAAGGGCCCTTCTTATCTAAATGCTCTCTAATGGCCTTCTCATCAAGAGCAAAACCTCTCTCGCGCAAACTCTTCACAAGCTCTTCAGCTTCCTTGACGCCTTTCTCTTTACAGTATAGATCCACAAGACCAGTAAAAGTTGACCCATTTGGAGAGTGCCCAGCATCCAACATCTCCATACAGAAGTCAACGGCGTCCTCTAACTTCTTCCCTTTGCATAAACCTTGAATCAGAACCGAGTAGCTAAACGCATTTGGCGCAATCTCGTTCTTCTGCATCTTCCTAAAAACTCTCTTTGCGTCATCAAATTTTGCGGCTTTGCAAAACCCTTCCACAACCGCAGTGTAAATCACTATTTCTGGGATTGTTCCCTTCTCGCGCATTAACCCAAACAGTTTCATTGCTTCTTGAACCAGGCCATCCTTGCAGAGTCCATCAAGCATCGCAACAGCGTTAGGTATCAGTCCTGTCTCCTTCATCTTCTTAAATATTTGATCGGAATCTTCTGGGGGTAATTCAGGCTCAGAAGAGTGGGAAGCTGTGGGGGCTGGAATTTGGGTCGCCTTCTTTGTACCGGCTTCTCCAGCTTTCTCAAGACCAGAAAGAGAATCAAGCTTCAATTTTTGGAAAAGACTTTCTCCAATTCGATCTCCCCTTTGCTTCTGATCTCCATTTTGCATTGATTCATTACTCTTTGTTTCTTCCTTGACTCTCTCAGCTGAGTGCGGTGATACTTTCTGGCTTAAGAAATCTAAGCTTTCCCCATTAGTTTCAAAATCAGACTTGAACTTTTGCTGAAATGGGCCAGATCCTCGTCTCCCTTCTCCCGTTAAATATGATTTATTAGAACGACCTCTACTCATCCTTGGCAGCTTATTGTCAAAATCGGGGAAGAGATCTTCTCGGTCTCCTTCCATTCGTCGTTCGCCGCGAAGAGGACGGCCGGGAATCGGGGACGACGGCTTCGAATCAGCCTTATCTGCTTTCTCCGGGACGATTGAATCCCCAAAGTTGAGATCACGGAGGAAAAAATCATCCGAGCGGTCGTCCCTTCTCCGCTCGCCTCTCGAAGATCGGTTGGATTCTGTGCTGAAAAGTGCAGAAGAAGGAGCCCGGATCAAATGCCTCGGCGAACATGGCAGTTCCCTTGTGATGATAGAGAAGAGAAGACGAAGACTCTTAGGTTGCATGGCTGTCTCTTCGCAGCTCCTCTTTGAAGAGGAGTCGAGGGGTAAATATGATGTAGAGCTGGGCTGAAGAGGAAGAAGGTGGTCAATCTTCGGGGTAGAAAGGCATTGAGTTTAGGGCTTTTCTCGGGGGCTAGGGAGGGAGGAAAAAGATAGCTTTTTTAATTATAATTATTATTTTCTTAACAAACTTTTAAATTAGAAAAAAAATCTTTATAATCAAATATATTAGAATATAATAATAATGAAAATTTAATGTCAGAGTTTTAATAACAAAATTATAATATTCATAATAAAGTTAAAATAATCTAATATTTATAATGGTTTTATAATATTTTTGAAGGATGTCTATAGCCACTCAAATAAATATTAAATTAGTTTTAAAATTTTTAAAATTATATATTTTGTTAAATATAATTGTTAATTGGAATGAGATTATTACAAACAATATTTATGATTGAAGCACACAAGCCTTCAAGTTTATACCTTATCTACCCTTTCAAGTTTTATCTTTATCAAACAATTTGGCTCAATGTTTGTTTAAAAGTTTGTTTATGATGAAAAGCAGACCACTTGTAAGTTAAGAGCATTTTCATTAGATAAAAGCTCTTTCTCCCTCTTCTTAAGCCTCATCTTAAGAGGTATTAAGATAAATCCCATTGCAAATCTATACCCCATTATAGTTTTATGCTCTAGATGAACAATTGTTTAGACCCCTTCAATGGCATAATAATAATCTTCATTATATTGTCTTGCATTCCTTGACCCCAAGTTGCATAACTAATAGCATTGAAAGTCAAGGTAATTCAATAAAAGACAACGTGCCAATGAAGTTGCTATTGAATTATACAAAATATATTTAATTTAATTATTATGTGAGAGAACAACTTGTTTTCTTCCAAGAAATGAATGTAAGTAATAACTATGATATTTCATTTCTTCAATTCTAAATTTGTCAAGTGATGTATATCTCCTATTAAAATGGCATGATCCTAACATAGATGTTCCTACTACTCAACCCATTTATTCATAAGTACTTCTATCTTATATATCTTTCTTTTCTTACAAACACTCAAGTGGATCACACTATCTAACTCTCTCTTGTGAGTAATATGGAGTCATTTTTTGTAATTCACATTGTTGCACCATTTGTGATAATCCACTATCACCATTATACTTGCGTGCCACCCACTGAAATAATAAAGAAGGCTCCTTATAGTTAGGGGAAGCCTTTGATACCATTACATTATGATATCTAATAAAATTGATGCCTTTGTTCATTCTCTTTCCCACTCCTCCATTCTTTAATCATAATTAGCACTTCACATGTAGCCCTTCCTCATCCCATGAGTGGGGACCCTCACTATCGTGACTCCATCCAATTAGCTTTTGAATATTGACTTGTCCCATACAAATATTGACTCCTTCCTCATTCCACGATAGAATCTTCTTATGGTCATCCACTCATTGAGCACAAGATGACTTTCTCACACTTCTCTAGAGAATTCTTTATAGATTCTTCCTCTTCACTTTAAGCCATTTCTAATTGGCTCATACAATGAAACTAACAATTTTATCAAGCAACTTGGGAGTTTTTATAATATAAAGACCCTCATGATAACATAAAATCTCAGCTGATAAATTTTGGCCATAACATGCAAATATGATGTTAAGAAACTCTTAAATAGCATGCAATTTGATAATATTTATTCTTCAATGAACTACATTGCTCAATGTTCATCGAGGGTAGAAGAAACACCATCATTATTACATAGCCAAGCTCACTAGGGCTACATGGTGATTTACGGTTCAAAGTATGCTATAACAAAAATATGATTGAAGCATATGGCCAAAATTTAAGGGTCACTATTAAAGTTTTCAATCTTTAAAATCCACTAGCAGAAATAGCAAGTGTTGGAACAAGTATATGTGTTCATAGATACTAACAAACTATCGACCCATATTGTAGTCAAAGAGTTATTTGGCTCGTTAATCATCAACCAGTGGCCACCACAATAATAACGATGACATAATTACCAATCAAACCACAACAAAGCTCCTCAAAGAAAAAAGGCTCTCATCTTATTTGATGTTAAAAGCCACACAACCATATTAAGGTGTGACAAATATGTTGATTTGTCAAGTACTTCAAAAAACATAAAGGCCCACCTAAAGAGATAGAAGATTGTTATGCTATTCACTAATGGAATCTTATATGAAATCAATAACAAGGTACGAGTGAGTTTTATAGCAAATCCTTAAGGTGTCATTATTACTTGTGCCATTCAAGAGAGAGAGGGAGAGAGTAGATACTTAAAAGTTATATTTTTTTACAAAATAAAGCATGATTGATCTCACTTGTATTACTAATATCATTTGTATATTTGTATATTTGTAAATCAACATTATATAGAAATTAAATGTAGAGGGGAGTCCAGGTATTAAAGTGAATGCATCATTTCAATGTTTTATTTAAATTTACATTCCTACTTTTATTTAAAATTTAAGAAAATAGAAATTTTTTTAGTAAGAGTACAACTTCATATTTAAAAATATCTCCTTCTAGATTTTAGAATTTCAAGAATAATGAGAAACTGAATAAAAAATGATAGTGGAATAAATAAATAAATAAATAAATATA